AGTGACACTCGGTATGTGTGTGTTGCCGAGGAGGGGGGTGTATGTGCCCAGGAAAGACTGCACTTTGGCAGGGCGGAGGCCTGCACTCAGAGCAGAGTTCTGGGAAAGAAAGCTTCATTTCTTGCCTACCTGAGTTGTGGGCTGAGATTCATACCAGCCATGGCAAGCACTCAGAGTTGCTTATTCTCAGAAGATTAGGGTGGATCCAAGGTCCAAAGATTCCAGCAAGGAGTAGCAAAGAAGGTAAACCACAGGTCTATCCCCTAGCGGAGAGCATGCTGGTGGCAAAGGTCCAGAGGCCTTTCATCTGGGCCTGGGCACAAACAAGGAAGCAAACGAGGGAGGGGAGGAACAAATAAGCACACCTGGCAGAAAGCCGCCTGTATTCACCCCATTCACACCCCATTCTTAATACATCCAGAGATTTGGGTTTGCAGCTAGGGTTTAGCAATTAAAACTATGTTGCGACACCTCTCCTGTTCAAAGCGGAGAAGGCATGAGGTCTGTGAATTTGCAGATGTGGCAGCATGGCCTTCTGTGCAAACATCTGACTCACTCTGCCCCTCAAGGAGGGAGGAAGCCAGCTCAGGTTTCACTATTAGCCCCCAAAGCCCGCTGTGAATGGCATTTCTCTCCCAGAAGCAAACTGAACTACCAAATCTCTTTAAATCAGTGCTGACAGCCTAAACCCAAGTTTATGAAGCTTCAGGCCACAGAGGAGGCCCTCTGCTCCAGGGTTGCACCATGAGGGGTGAGCAGCTCTGATTCGAATGAACCAGAGCCTAGGTTTCACTGTTTTCATTGCTGTGACATTTACATTCTGAGAGCCTGGGGAAATGGATCTTTGAGACACAGAACATTAACCTTTGCTATAGCAAAGTCTTGGCTGTCTTCAAACGCCTCACAAAAGATGGTACTCCTTACCTCCATTTTAGCCTCCAGTCTGCTGGAAAGGTCACAATGTGGGAGGAGTTCTGACAGCAATGAAATCTCAGGAAATTATAGGGCTTAACGGGGACTGCAGCAACCATCCAAGTCCACTCCGGCATTTCATGCATGAGTAAACTCAGGCTAAAGAGAGATTAGCGAACTTTTGCAAAGTCACCCTGCCAGAAGGTCGATGAACTGTGACTTACTGACTCTACTCATTTACCGTAAGAAACATCTGTTGTTGCCATTTGGAGACCTCTGTGGTTGTGTGGGTCACAGGGCCCTTTCATAGGGCCCTAACTTACCCTGTGGAAGTCAGAGAGGCCCCATACCCCTCTCCCCAGTTCCTAGAAGCAGGCATGTAACCTAGCCTCATCCAACAGGACAATCGCATCCAGCCTTACCTTAACATCCAACCGTCCATGGCCGCCATGTTGGTTCTGCCCCAGGACTCCGACAAGAGCCACAAGTCCCACTGATACATTTACCTAGTGACTATTTTGCTCAATGAGCAATCTGTGTAATAAACAGTTTCCCTAAAATTCAGGCAAATACTCTTTTGAGTATTTTTGCATTCATTTGGCTGCTGTCATCTTTTATATTATTTTTTTTTGGCCACCTTTTTGGCATTTTTACACATTTAAAAAATTAGTTTCTGCTTGCTACATTTTGTATTTCTGATTAAGTATTTATGAAATGTGTCACCTTTTACAAACAATGAAACTGTTGTTTATTGTTGTGGGAGTCTTTTGATAATATATGAACCTTTGAACACACTGTAAGGGACTTTTTTACAAGTCTGTATGAAGACTCTTTCTTCAAAGCTGTACGTTTACAGCAAGAGACCCTTACTGAATTTGATATTCAAGATATTAAATTCAGAATAATCCTCAAAGTGTTAGGCACAAAATGGAGTGCACTTGGACCAGCAATTGATCTGACTTTAGCAACAGAATGAGACCAGCACAGTCCTAACAATTAACGGTAACTAATGGCTGACTACAATGGATGAGAATATATTAGACCAGGTGTGTAATACTGGGTTCATATTCCATTCAAGTCCATACACAAGTATTGAGTTTAACTATAATAATAAACCAGCTACTATTTCTCAAGGACCAGCTACACGCCAGAGGCCAGGTTGAGCACTGTACTTACATTTCCTCTTTTAGTTGTGTTCCCTGGGGGCAGGGCCTCCTCTCTGTTACGACTGCGTCCTCAGCTGGTCCATAGTAGACGCCCTATAGCTACCTGCAGAATAACCCAAAGGCCCTGTTAGCAGAGAATGTGTTACCTGCCACCTCAACTGGACAGGTGAGGAAATGCAGGCTCAGGAGTTGCTACCTGTCCGAGGACCTCGGCAAGGACCGCAGGCCCCTGGAGCCTGCATTGCCATGGTAGGGGAAGGGTGCCTTCACACCAGTACTCCAATAACTGAAGCCTGGAGGGTGCGGGTCAGGGTGCACACACACATTCAAAACTGTTTTAAGCTGTTTAGCCCTGAGGGTCTGGGGCAGAGTGTGTAAGTACAGAGGTCCCTGGGAGGTGATGGTTCTGAAATGACTCTCTTTTAAGGTCTCTAAATGACTATTATTGGAGGTAGAACATTCCAGCATGAGCCTGGCTTCACAGGGAGTTTGGGACAGAATACAAGCAGGGGTCAGAGGTCAGAGGTCCACCCAGGTGACCTGTGTGATGTGTTGTAGCTTTCCAACAAAAGGTTAGAAAGGGGAGGGAAGATTCACTCTGAAAACCTGGGATGATAAACATGGGACCTTGTGGGCCAGCAAAGAGATTAGTCCTGACTTCTCTCCTTTTCTTCCTCTAACGTATATTAAATCTGTTTTCTCTAGAAATTAAAAGCATCTCAGATTCTCACGTGCTGTTGGCCTAGTGCCGTTGTGCTAACAGTAGTCAATAGCATTTCATATGAAAAGAAAACTGTAGCTGGGAATGAAAAATGGTACAGCACTCTGGAAAACAATTTGGCAGTTTCTAAAAAACTCAGCATACATTTTTCCTACAATCCAGCATCGCAGTCCTGGGCATTTATCCCAGCAAAATGAAAACTTATGTTCACACAAAAACCTGTATGTGATTGTTCACAGTAGCTTTATCTGCAATAGCCTCAAACTGGAAACCACCAAAATGTCCTACAATAGGTGAATGATTACACTAAACTGTGGTACATCCAGACCATGGAATAATACTGAACAATAAAAAGGAACAAGCTACTGATACAAGCGACAATTTAGATGGATTTCAAGGGCTTTATGCTAATTGGAAAAAAATCCCCAATCTCATGCAGTATTATTGCATATATATAATAGTCTCAAAATGACAAAAAAATTTTTAAAAAGACAAAATTGTAGAGATGGAGGACTGATTAGTGGTTGCCAGGGGTAGGGATGGTACAGGGAAGGGTGGGTGTGACTGTAACTGGGAAGCACAAGGGAGACCTTTGTGGTGATGGAGCAGCTGCGCATCTTGACTGCAGTGGTAGGTACTCACGTCTACACTGGTGATAGCACAGCACACACCCCTTGCGACCATGTCCGCTTCGGTGATGGACTGTAGTTCTCTGAGCTGCAGTCACTGGGGAAAATGAGATGAACAGTACAAGGACCTCTCCATACTGTCTTTGCAACTTCTTGTGAATGTATAATTATTTTAAAATAGAAAGTTTGAAAAAAGAAAAAAAGGAAAATCATGGTTGAAAGCATCAACTGATTTTTCAAATTTAACCATTCTGAAGAAATCCTAGTAAAGGAGAAAGATGAATATGCCTCTCGTATACAGAAAATTTCTTTATTCTTTTTATAGCTTTGTAATATTCCATTTCATGGCTGTACCATATATGTTTTTTAATATAGATCCTGAATGTTTAGGTTATTTCCTTTTTTTGCTATTGTAATTAGTTATTATAAATCATCTTATGTATAAATCATCTCACCTACTGCTTTTATGACTAGGTTTGCAGTACAAATACCTTTAAGTGGGAAAATTGGTTCTCTTTGGGGGGGGGAGGGCGTGGAGGTAATTAGGTTCATTTATTTATTTTAAATAGAGGTACTCGGGATTGAACCCAGGGCCTCTTGCATGCTAATAAGCACATGTCTGCCCCTGAGCTGTACCCTCCCCTCAACTAGTTTTCTGGGCTGCTATGCTATATTTCTACATTATGCTGTATTTTAAGCAAAAAACATTTTTGTCAAAGAGCCTCATTTTTGAAAATAGGTGTTTACAGACACATTCTTAATGGCAAAAAAAATTTTAGTCTACTTCAAGTTACCGCACATTCTCAACATTAATAAAACAGCATTTCTATTTGACTAATTTAAGCTAGTCATTTATCTATTGGTGTTGATTTAAATATGTTTTTAAAGGTATACACTCACTATTATAATACGGTTCATTTTTACCCAGATCTGGAGATAACGTGGTGAAATCTTGTCTCCCTAAATTACATAACAACTGCACATAGAATAAGAGCGGTGTTACCAATTCAGAGATATCTTCCAACCCCAGTGTTATAAAGCGGTTTTAATGTATTAAACAAAATGGCTTCTCTTGGTCAAAAAAAAAATTGTTTTTTAATCTAGTCAAGCAATCAACACCAAAATGTTTGGGATCCTATGAAGTGTCTCTTGCGCCCAGAAACGGGGAGTTTTATTCATCCTCTAAAAGTTCACCGTACAGCGTGTGGGTGAAGCTTTCCGAGCAACCTTTCCCTCTTTCAGCCTTTGTTGCTGCAAAGCCAAAATGTGAGCTCTGGGTCTGAGTTTTGCTTCCCACAAAAAATGTGGCTAAGGCCAGAGAACATAAGTATTTATACTTCTGAAGGCCCCACTTCTCGTGAGTCACGTGGCAGCGGCCCTGACGGGGCGTCCCTGCACCTCCTGGGGCTCGCCGCCGCCAGTCAGGTGGAGAGGGCGCCCTCTAGGGGTGAGGCTGGGGAACAAATAGTCACCGGCCCAGGGGACAGGGACTGTGGGAATCCACCTGGATGGCCTTTCCTAGGCTGCTACGCTTCTGAAGCTTCCAGAAACTAAATTCCATCAATGCGGTGCCAGAAGTAACCTGATGCGCCGCTGTCTGTGCGTGCGAATGCCTGGATACACACTCATAAAATCCAAGTATCTTGGAAAGAGAAGCAGGAAACTAATACAGATGCTTGCCTCCTGGGAGGGGAATGTCATGACAGACATGGGGATAAAAGGGAAACCCTTTCCCTCCCTCCAAGTTTATTATGAAAAACTTCCAGACATACAGAAAAGTGGAAAGAATAATGCCATGAATTCCCATGTACTCACCACTGAGTCCACAACCATTAACCATTTGTCATACCTGCTTTACCTCTATATTAATGTGCCTGAATTATCTGATTAGAGACTCACAGCAAAATCTCTTATGTCCTTTGAATTTTGCAGAGTGCACCATTTATCCAAATAAATAAATGTATTAATAATACTAACCACCTCTCAGAGGACTTGTGAGGGAAGTAATCACAGTAAGAGAGATGTGAATGCCTGGCACAGTGCCAGGCACAGGGTATCTGCTCAACAAATGCTAACTAAGGTTGTTCTCACATTTCTTGTCCATGGCTTTTAGCTCCCACAGTCCACTCAACGCCTTTGATTTCACCAGAGGTTGGCAGCTCAGACAGGACAGGGCTGTTTATGGGCAGCGAACGGGGCTCCAGAAATCTCAGTGACTCCAAATCAGCCAGGAACCAAGGGGCCCCCAGTGCGCCTGGCATCTGGGTCTTCTCATTTTTCCAAATCTCTCTCAGCTCCCCAAAGGCTCCTGGCAGGTTCAGAGCAGGAGGGATCATCACACCCTGTAGGAAAGTGGCAAGGTCTGCAGACCATCCTGTTAGACGCAGGCCAGTGAGCAGGGAGGAGGCCTAGGGAGGCCGTGATACTAAACTGTTGGGGCTGCTCGGAGAAAACCGCCTCATGCCGACAAACATCCACCTTTTCTCACGGACTGTCTTGTAATAAGTTTCACTATTTTCTGATATCAAAAAATGTAAGCTAAATATAAAATACAATTCAATATGTGGTCAGTAGCTCACAGTGGAAAAAATATGACAATGAATATATGTATGTTCATGTATAACTGAAAAATTGTGCTCTACACTGGAATTTGACACATTGTAAAATGACTATAACTCAATAAAAAATAGTTAGAAAATATATATAATTCAATATGTGGTAAAAGCCAAATAGAGATGCTAACTAGGTCCCTAAACACATACATATAACATAAATAATTCACAATATACACATATGCAATAAAACATGCATGTATTAATATAATATATACACTATATATTAACATGCAATGTATGTTATCAGACAACATAAATATAAAATACCATTCAGTATGTGGTAAAAACCAAGTAGTTAGAGATTCCATGCTAACTAGGCATCTCTTTTTCTCTACACGCACACACACACACACACACACACACGCACGCAACATATATAACATAAACTACATATTATATACCTTACATATGCACATTATATTACAAACATTATTTATTTAGAGGCCGAGTTAGCATCTCTGACTACTTGGGTTTCACCACATACTGAATTTCACTTGGTCAGACTAACCTTTTCCCCACTAGAGGAAACTGGCTGTAGAAAAACCAGCTGAGTCACTACTGGCTCTGTTAGCCACAGCCAAATACCTCTCTGGGGCCTCAGGCCTTCCTGAGGCTTCCACAAGCCCAGACACTTCCTCCAGTCCTTGTGGAGGGAGAACTGGGGGAGTCACCCGCTCCTCAGCAGCCCTGTTTTTTGCTGTCCTGGCTCCAGTGCTGCCGTGCTGGACACCAGTGAGACTAGGTCCCTTAAAGCCACCTGTTTCTCCACTGTCAAAAGGCAGCTCCTTGGCACGACCTCACTCAAGTGTGACTGTCCTAGAGAAGAAGAGGATGCTTCCAGAGGGTCACAATGGACCTGGATGTCTCAGGTCTGGGTGCCAGTTCACAGCCACTTGCTGTGGAGAAACCCCAACAAGAACAATGGTTGGCATTTATTGAGCACTTACTATATACCAGATACTGTGCAAAATACCTTATTGCCTTTGTTTTTTATCACCTCACCCTTCCTCCAAGGTCGGCACTTGTCCCTGGCTTGAGCCTTGCCCTTTTGGTGGGTTCCTCTTAGAAGACCTTAATTCATTTTTTAAAAATTAACATTTATATGACACTTACTCTGTGGAAGACACTGTTCTAAGCA